ACCAAGCTCTTAACTAACAAGATATTGTCCGCTTTGGCCTAAGAGTCTCACGGTTTTGTCCTATTGTTATAACTTTTCAGGAGGTCACATATCCTAAGATTTCTGTGGGTTGAGCACGCTTAACTGAGGAATTTCTTAAATAAAATTTCAACCATTACACCAAAAGGCGTCTCGATGTTTAAGAGTTTAGCTTTTTTTTTTACTTAAATATGTATTTATTTTCCAAAAATCATATAATAAAAAGTATTCTTCCGATTTAGATTATGAGGCATTACAGTGCGCACCACAGACACTACAATCATTTGGAAGTGTTCGTGCTTCATAGGATGGGAGTCTGCAAGGCATTGACGTTTTAGTGGGTTAGAGGTTTCAAATCTTATTTTGCAATTAGTGAAAGGAATAAGAAAAAATATGCCAACACTTTCCAAGATTTAACATGCTTCAAGCAATGTGCTGTTTTTTTATTTTCGCTTTTTGTCTTAAGGAATTTTCATTCTTGCCTTATGTTATCTGTAACTTTGTTTGTGTTTTTTATTTTTCATTTGGTATTTTGTTGTAATTGCCTCATGATGTACTTATATCTTTATTGATTATTATATTGTGCTTTAAAAAAAAAAATAAACTAACCTTGAATAGTGACCTATACTAGTGCTAGTGTAGCCAATACTTAGTTGTCGTATTTAGACTATTTATATTTGGATCTTCACCCCGCAAGTTTCAAGAGCTTTTACCAAACAAAGATCCTTTCTTTTACACCATCATCATGTTGGTATTAGATCCATTGGCTCCAATGAGTGCAAATTGCAAATAGCTTGAAGGCACAGTAGGGAGCATTTCAACATCAAGGCATCTTCCATGCAAGTGGTACTTTGTTTTTATTCTTTGGGTAAAATTTGCAATTTTACATTGCCTCTAGTTTCCTTCTTGATTGGTAGATAGAATAGTACTTTGAAATGTTGGAATTGGCATGTTACTTGACAATACACACAAGTTTAATTTATTTGTCCTCATAGTTGTGAACAACACCAGCATACCAAGCCCATCTCAACATTAGATCCATTCATTGGAGTTACTTAATATGAGGACTTATTCCACTTAAACATAATCTTGATCCAATCTTGTGGATGTATTGTAATATACAAAGTTGAAATTATATTTTTGTGTGTTTGTTTTAGGGGCTATTTGGCAACAAGTAGGATTTAACTTTAATAGGATTAATAAGTCCTAGTTATATTAAATCCTAAAAACTGCTTGGCAAGATAGTTGTTAAATTATGTGAAACTATTTGACATTGTAATCCAGGATTTAAGGAGGTTGGTTCTTTTAAAGATTAAATTTAATATGTTTTGAATTTAATGTGTTAAGTACGAGTTACTAATTAAGTTCAATTTAGTTATGACCAATAACTTATAATGATAAATAATATAATCTTAAGCTTGTATAGTTATCAAATAATTTAATTAATAGTTTAATTTGTAATTATAGTTCTAAATATCTAACTACTTATTTAAGTGTTAATTTAATAAGTATTTAATATTTAATTATATTGATAATTGCTTAATTAATTAGTTTTTTTAAAATAACTATTTATGGAATTAGTACTCCTACTAATGATTTTATTAATTATTTAAGTATTATGTAATAAGATTTAATTATTAGCAATACCATTAATTAACTCATTAATCATTTAGACATTCTATTGCTAATTAATTATTTAATTATCATTTACAATGTTAATTATATAATTAATTATTCTATTTCAAATTCTTAACCAAAAGCTAATTATATTAATTATTAATTATTAATTATGCAATTAATTATTTAATTAAGATTAAATAAAATATTTAATTACCTTAATAATTTTTAATTAATTTTATTAATTATTAATATTTTAAATTATATTAAGTATGCTAAATTGGATTAATTGGATGGAGGCCTTCTAGGGTTTGCTTTTCATGTCCATTTCTTCATTGTTGTTAGCGTATTGCTTTTCCTTATCACTTTTTCTTCATTGCTGTTTCGACCTTGCATGCTTCACGTGAAGCAATGTGTTGAAAGAGTCGGTAAAGAAGCTTCTTTGCCTCCTCCTCCAACGACATTGGAACGGAAGTCTCATTGGGAGCTCGCACGCTCGCTGTGAAGGTAACCATCTTCGCCTCCTCCTTCAAGATGGGAGCTCGCTCGCTTGTGCGGGAAAACTTTGCAAATCTATAAATCCTGCTAAATCCGCCGAACTATGGGTTTAGTAATTTCCATATTTACGCCGTAAAACCTTAAATTCAGGATTTACGATTGATTCAAATTTACTGCACACTATCAATTTGTTTAGTACGATTTACAACAAATCCGACATAAATCCTGCTTAAATCCCGCTACCAAAAAATTACTTATAATAACTAATCTTTTCTTGCTTGTTATTACTTTTGAATTAAAGTTGCTAATAAGTGTTGCACTACTATTTTTTTTTTTCTTCTTCACATAAACATCTTACATAAAGAAACCTAAATTTTTTCCTGAATCCTTACTAAGGGAAAAATATATCATTGATTTGTTTGAGTGTTGACTAAAAAGGCTTTGTCATGAAGACCTAAATTTTCTTAGGAGAGTTTGGGACTAACATATTCTATTGTGGTCCTCTCCTCACAAAGAAGTTATTTTTGGCAAGCTATCTTCAATTCAGCAAATATATTTTTCATAGTATATATTTTTTGCATTTTCTTTAAGCACTAATGCATTCTTTTTCATTTTATTATGTTACTAAAATCAATAATCATTTGATTAATTTGAAGAGTACTAAGAAAAAACTAACATAAATTTGACACCCTTAAAAATTCATTTGATAACTTATAAATTCATGATGACAAACCTTAGGGTTTAGGGCTGACATTTTAATAAACAGGTCACGAACTTTACCTATTTCGTATGTACTCCTAACAATCATAATCAACTTAAGGAAGAGCTATTACATAGAATATTGCAAGTTTAACGAATCTACCCTCGATATGATTTTTGGACCCTTGATGACCCATAGTTAAGATTAAATCCCCAACTTATGATTATAATCATGGCCCAGACATGTTCTTAAATTGGTTAGATGGTTCACTTTCTTGGATGACATAATTCAGATGATCACCAAAGGATTCATAAGATTATTAGAGGGCTAATTTTGTCAATTTGAAAGTCATAGTTCATGCTAAGATATGCTTGTATAATACGTTAAGTTAGGGACAAATGAATTTCATAACTACTTTAACCTAGGTTGAGATGAAAGAACCGTTGAAACCAAAATATTTTCCTTGGTACTATGAGAAACACATGCATAACCCTATATCTACAATAGTGCTTCTACTAACACTTAACTACAGATAATTAATAATAAAATCACTAACAAATTATTGAATAATTACAACTTTTCAAATGAATTATCTGGTGTCGCATAATCCTATATCTACAATAGTACTTCACAACTATTTTAGGATTTTTAAAATCCCAACAGTTGAGCTGAATAAATCTCCAATCTAAACTTTTTCAAATTAACAATAATAAAATAATGCACTAAAATATACCTTATAACCTTCTTTACTCTATGACTTCAAAACTTCCTCTCACTGCTCTTGCCCAAAGTCTTTCTCTTTGGCCATCCACGGATTGGAAACCCTAGAGTCTGTAAATACTAGTTATGTACTCTTATTTTGATTATTAACGAATAAAATCATTTTGTTCTTGTGCAAAACTCTTGTGGAAAAATATGGTGGAAGCGTACAACTTGGAGAGGCTTGATATAATCCAAAACCCTAAACCCCCATAAACCAAGCTGTAACCACTTTGACTAACCAATTCTAGCACTAGTCTAGCAACACTGAAGTTGTCATATTTGGATCTTCACCATCAAAAGATTCAAGAACCTTCGGCAATCAATTCCTCTCTTTTACACATCCATCTATGTGCTTTTTACAAATACCAAAAAAGAAAATATTTTGGTGTATATTATTTGTAAATAATCCAATTCTAATGAGACTAATCCTAAAGCAAATGAAAAGTTAAAGTGATATGTTCAAAGATTAGAAAATTTGGAATTTGGAAACTAGCTGAATAAATGTTGCGTTATGTTACATAAATTTTTAGTGAATGAAATGATAATGATTATTTAATAATAAATGATGATTAAGTAATGCCTAGCTGAGCTAGGTTTTATATCTTTTGTGCATAAAAATTTGTAAATAATGATAAATATAGCAGCACCAATCCTAGATTGTTAAAATGAAGTTATGTGAGTGATATTGTGTTAAGAAAATCTCATGTAAATTCTAGAAGAGAACTCTATGAGTAACTACAAAATAGTATTCACTGTCATTTATTTGCGTGTGAAATAAGTGAAAATGTTAAGATATTTAGTGGTTAAAAAAAATTAGTGTGAAATTATTATATTGAAAAGTGGGGAGTAGCACCCACTATAGAGAATTTTATGAAGAGATATGTTCATGTGATTTGAGGATGTACAACATATAACAGAACATGTGCTATTAAGGTAAATTTTATCAATATTTGTTAAATGTCAAGGAAAATATGTAGACAAATATAATGTAGTAAAGAGTTGTGCATAAGTTTTATGTGAACTATAGTTGCCACGACATGCAAGGCTATGCAAAATCAATGATCAAGAATAGTTATGCTGTGGTGACCAGCTGGTTGATCTCCCTTTAAAATGCCGATTATTTATTTTTCTTGTTCAAATACTTATTTGACAGATGGGCTCATTCATTTCTTGTATTTTGCTTAAACAAATATTCCGTGTGGTTGTCATGCTTGCAGAACTCGGTAGCTATATATAGATTTGGTTTGACAATAACAACTTGTAAAGTTTGCTAGGAATCTCTCTGGAATACCTATTAATGCATCTTTCATGCTGGTACTATGAAATTTTAAAAGCTCTTCAATCTGTTTAACTACACAATTCCATTCTTCTGCCTCTTTAATCTTGAAGTCTTTTCTATCAACAGGAGGCAATAGTGTCTATCACCTTCAGCAATAAAAGTTCTAGATATCTTTGTTCGGGAGGGAGCGGCCGTGTTGTTAGAATATGGGATTTGCAAAGAAAACGTTGCATCAAATGGTTGAGTGGCCATACAGATACCATTACAGGGGTTATGTACAATTGCAAAGATGAACATCTAGCATCTATCAGTATGAAGGGAGATCTAATTTTACACAATCTTGCTTCAGGAACCAGGGCTGCTGACTTCAAAGATCCATTTGGGCAGGTAGTTTGATTGCTCATGTGAATATTATTGTACATGCTTCATCATATTAACTATGTAAGAAGAAATTGCTATTAAACTTGTTTCTCTTATCTGTAGTGATATGGTTTCCTAGTTTTTTTATCCCTTTGGTGCTTTAAAGCCAGGTATTAAGAGTGCTTGATTATTCTCGACTTAGTCGGCACATTTTGGCCATAGCAGGTGATGATGGATCCATACATTTGTGGGACACAACAGGTCGTGCACCGAAGGTTTGTAATTCATATTAAACTACACTGTTTTCTTACAAGTTGAGCTATTTACGACCCTTGCACTGTATGTATAAGTTATGTACATTATTCTGATTCTCAATGGAATTTGAACGATAGTGTGGCATAATGCAGCTTGCATTTTTGTTGTTATAGATTCCATATGTTCACTAGAACTACTTAGCATAAACACATCTCTACCCCTTTAGCCTCGAAGGCAATTTTCATATGATGTTACTATTGACTTCATGTGTTGATGTTGCTTAGATGGTCTAGGTTTTCCTTCTGTTTTGGATTGTATTGTCTATTTTTAAAGCTTAACAATTATCTGATTAATTGGGTTGGTAGCATATATTATATGGATTATGTTAATGACTATTCCAAAATGACTTGTTGCTATATATATATATAGACAGTTTCACTAAATGGTGAGTGTGCTCTGTTACTGTTATGCATATTTATATTTCTTTCGGGATGGATAGAATGTACTAGAGTTTTGAAGTAGATATTAAGGGCATACTTTCAAAAATTCAAATGGATTAATCCAGACATATATACATATATGCATTGATCCACTTCCCTCTAATATACAGATACCATCTTCAAAAAACTTTGAAGTGCAGACCATCAACATTAACATATAATATTTAAGTTCATGAAATTTATCCAATTAACTTTCTACCGGACTCCAAAAACAAATAAAAAATAAAATAAGAAGTCTTTTTATGAGGTCTTAATTCATGCACAAAAAAAAAAATGAAAGAAAAAAACGTAGGAGCTCAGCATCCATGATCTAACAAATCTGTTAAGCTCTGATTTTGTTACTCCCTTTTCTGTATATGCTTTTTCTTTGTAAGGAACATAACATCTGTCAAGGACTTGGACCTGTGGATCATGACGGTCAACAGAATCCTGAAGTTAATGAACTTTGCTATCTTTTATATTTAATTACTACAATTAATTCCATAACTGCGAAAGTTGTAAGATGTCTGATTCAAATTTCCACTTGAATAAAAAAAAAAAAGATGGTGGAATTTCGAAGGTCTTTTTTATTTTAATAAAATATATCCTTAATAAACAGATGTTCAAATCTTATACTTGTTTGTTTCAAATAAGCAGAGTACCAAGAAGCCATGAAAGGCTTGTGGTTTTTAAAAGTGCATTTTGATCTAAGTTTTTATTTTATTTGCGGTTGCTTGGCGGTCATTCCTGACTGGATTTATATTCTTGGCATCTTTGTTGAAGGTTTCTTGGTTGAAACAGCATTCTGCTCCAACAACTGGCGTTTGCTTCTCTCCATCTAGTGACAAGGTTGTTTCTTCTTTTAATTAATCATTTTACTGTTTTTAAGGGAAAATCTTTCATCATGTATATGAACCCATTGGGATATTCAGAATGGGGTTCATTAGAAAAAGAATTTTTATCTTTATGTTGTTTTAGATTATGCAGAAACATATTTACAGTTACCTGCCTGACAAATTTTCATTATTACAGATAATTGCTAGCGTTGGTTTAGACAAAAAGTTGTACACATTTGATTCAGCCATGAGAAGACCCACATCTTGTGTTTCATATGAAGCACCTTTCTCTTCGCTATCCTATAGTGAAGATGGAAATATTCTGGCTGCCGGGACAAATGGTGGACTTATAGTATTCTATGATGTTCGGGGGAAACCTCAACCATTCACAATCCTTCATGCTTTCAATAGTTCCGAGGTAGCATTCTCCTTCAGCATTTTTGCTTTAATAGATTATAAATGCTTGATGCATCCTATTCCTGTGCTTGCAAAGTCTCACTGCCTGCATAGGATTAATCTCCAAGATATCTGCTTTCAAGCCATGGTAAAATACTACTTCAGGGCTATTGCTAAGAAGCAGTGGGAATGTACTCCGTCTACAATGCCTGTAAACTGTTAGCATTTTGTGCTTGGTTGTTTGCAATGCTCATCCTTCTCACCTGCTTGTCTTTTGTGGAACCTTGGGCTAATGCCTTGAGTTTATTCTTTTTCCTTGTGGCGTTTAATGTTTATTCCTGAAGTTTAGGAATTTACTAGTTTTGGATGGTAATTGAACATTTTAGTCAAATTGACAATCTCTTGTATCTGTGGTTGCTTTTCAGATTGTAGAGGAGCTTGTTTTGTGATTCAATTACCATACTTTAAAACGTAAAAACACGTGAATAATACTTCGGCATTGAAAATTCTATTATTTCTAAAACCTGTAATCTTTTCCTTGTTTGGTAATTCATATTCATTCTTTTCATAAAGATAATGAGAGGGCAGTACTATGAGTACTGCTTCATATTGGATTCTTCTATTCAACCCCACTTAGAGGGTCTATCTTTTCTAGCATTTTTATCAGGGTCTTGTTAACTAAAACACCATGGATTTTGTAATGTAAATTATCAAGGTGAAAGTGTAATGCTCTTACAAGATGAATTAAGAGAAATTTTTCTCAACAAATTTGAAATATTTTATTATCGAGTACGGTATAGGAAATTATATATTAACTTAGATGTTATATATTATTTCACTATGAACTCAATTGCGTAAATTTTGAAAAAATTTATGTTCCAATAGATTTTCCCTTATTAAATATATTCATTGAATTTGATTGATTTTATTTTGGGGTGCAGGTTCCTCAGAAGGGCAAGTTTTCATGATTAATTACATCCCAATAATTTTTGGCATTTGGAAAAAACTTCTGATTGAAATAGTGGATTATATTTTTTAGATCAAAATATTGGCTAATATTTTTATAGGTTTCAAATATTTCATTTCAAATATTTAATCTTGAAATTTCAAGGATGATTGAACTAGCTTTGAATTGGTTTCATAAGAAAGCCAAATGATAAATGGTAGAGTACTTGATTTTGAGAAAGTCAGAGATACTTAATGTTTTCATATCTTAGGTTTTATATTTGAGATTGAATTTATGTTTAAGTTAATCATTTTATTTTGAAAGGTTGGATCTTACATTTCAACAACATAAAGTTATGAAAATTCCCATAAAGATGAGGATTTATAATATAACTAAAAAAACATTTTCCTTAGATCCTAGATTTAATACGAGAACATAGACTGAATCTAAATTTAACAGAAAGCATGAGACTTATAAACTTAAAACATCACTAAAGGGGTCTTATAATTTTTCCTGGAAAGGATTGGTAGCTAAATGCATCTAAACGCAGTTGAAATCATGTGTCTTGGTCTCAATGTAATTGCAAGATATGATTGGCTATTTTGATTTCAAGAAAAGGACTTGTAACTTCGCCATTTAATCTAAGATGTCTGACCATGAGGAATATATATACTGACTCACTAAAACGAGTTCCTTTAGTTATCTAGTTCTTACTATGAGAGTTTTACTTCTATATGATTGACAAGGCTGTGCAAATGATGTTCATAAGCCAGGATAATGGGTTTAGTGTTGATTTTTATAATCATACTCTTATGGCTAAGCAATTAGTCAAATATGGGATTATATTCCTCCATTAGGAGGCTTTTAATTTGATTTTAAAATTTTAGCTTATTTTTTATAAGCCATGCAAATTTTGAATAAAAATACATTACCTTAGAGTCGAGTTGAATGTTGTTTATATTTTATGGGTAGAAAATTTATTCTTGTGAGCCTAACACGCAAGCATGCTTAGACCGTCCTCATAAAAGAAAAAATTTAGGAAAAATATACAATTTTTTGACGCAGCCAAAGTAAACACATAATCACAATACAACAATCAACCAAAATAATAATAGAAAGGTCAGGTGTGGCTAGGTTCACGATACTATCCCATAAAAAAGAAAAGTATAAATTGCAACTGAGCTTTCTTTCATGTACAACCATGCCTTGATCTATGGACTCTATCTGTGTGTTTTCAAAGTTCGACTTTTGATCCATTCAAGGCCTCACTTTGAGGTTCATCCTACGTTTGTTGTATTCCAGAGGCTTATATAACTTCATAATCTAAAAAATACATTTTGGAAAAGAGAAAACTTAACTTTCCTACAAAATAAATATTAGGGTACATGTATATTTAAAATCCCTACATCAAACATTCATAGCCTGATACAGATGGTGTCAAGTTGATTTCATCCCTTATTGGCCATGCCTACTTAAGGCTTAAACATTTATAACAACACCTACATGCAAAAGCTATTAGATTATGATTTTTAATTTGTTTAGGTTAGAGTCATGTAGTTGATTAGGGATGAACTTTGGCTTTGAGGCCAAAGGGAAGATGAATACTTGCTTGTTTGAGTCAAGCAACTAATGCAGTGGTTTTGGAGCCAAAAGAAAAAGGAACGTATTTAATTATGTTAAACACGTAAAGATAATGTTTGATATATAGCTTTGGAGCTTTAAAATGAATGAAATAACACTTAACAGTTTTGGATTTAAGGAGAATCTACTCATTTGGATTGGGTAGATGATCTCTAACTTTTGGGCCAAAGAGAAGAAATGATTTCTCTTTGATTCGGTTCACAGAAGAAAGGCTATTGGGATTTGATAGTAGACTAGAATAGGAAGTTGACTCACTTTATTTTGGGTCCAAGCAAATGAAAACAAATATTTCAATAACTTTGGGGCCAATGAAACACAAGAGATCCTATAACAATGTTGGGTTGTTTGTTTGAATTGGGTCTTAAAACCTAGAAGTTTAAGGATAAGTGTTATACGTTTAATTGGGCATAATAAATGAGGAATGCTGGGCTTGGGGTCATATGCATAAACTTTTGGATATTTGCTGATTTTGGGAAACAAATAGAAGGGATCTAGATTTTTGTCTAGTATACTAAAACTAATTCATAATTTTTTGAGGCCATTTGGGAACCTTAGTATAGGATTTAGAAAGAGCATTAGAGCGAAGAACCGAAGTGGGAGAGGTCTAGATTGAATCTGTTTAAATCCAAGCCAATGCAAAACTAAGGCCTAGTTAAGATTCTTTTAGCTGCTAGAAGCTTCTAAATTTATGAGGCAAAGTTTTGAAGTATTGTGAAGACAAGGCAAACCTAAGCTTTATCTCAGATTGTTTAAGCTTCTAGAAGGTTGTAAAAGTAACGAGGCAAAGTTTTTGATGTATTGGGAAGCTTAAAAATAACACCCCTGAAGGGAGAGAAAATCCTAAAAAGAAATCTTATTTTTTAGACTATTTTGGACTTATCAAAATAAATTACATCACCTATGGCTTTAGAAATCAAACAAGATTATTTTTAAAATAATTTATTGATTAATAAAAGCACATAGAAATTGATTTTGTATTTTTAGGAATTTTCTGAATTTAATTATGATTTTTAAAAAAAAAAAATATTTAATTATACTATTTAATTCAGAAAATTTGTAAATTGGATTAAATAATTCCAAAATAACATGGAATTTAATTCATGGACCCTTAAGGATTCATGGAATATCCTATTAATTTTAAAAAAGTTGGGTTAAGTGAGCCTATTTAATAATTTTTTTGAAGTCTTAAGAATTTGAAATGCCTGGCAAAAAAGAAATATATCATATTTTAGATTAATTGTACCATACTCTAAATTTTAATTGAAACCTAATACAATTTGTTTCATTTTTTTCCTACAATGAAATATGAATCTTAGAAGTTTTATGGATTTACTTATCCCATTTAAAAGGGGCTACATAGTGAGCTGCTGATTGGACTACTCTTATCCACGTGACAGTGCAAGATTGGGCCAACATGGCTTGACAGGGTGAATGAATACGTCAATAGCTAAGTTTGAGCAATTGGTTGTAAGATCCAATAGCTAGGTTATGACCATCTAGTGTCCATTTATGCACGGGTTAATGATGCAACTAAATCAAAGCTATTCATTCGCTCTTTATGAGAATGAATGGAGATCATATCCTCTTGTTCCTCCTCCTTTTGAATGAAGACTATCTTCATGAATTGAAGAGATTGGATGGAATTTCCGATGAAGGAGCATCAATATAAGGTTTACTAATTGGATTTAGGGTTGGATGGGTTCACCACACATACAAAGTCCAATGAGCAACAGACCTAAGGCTTTCTAAGTCTCAGAATACCTCACTAAAACCTTATTCAGTGTAAAATTTCCATATTGCCTTCATCTAATAGAGACAGAGACAATAAGGAGAAAACACTTCAAATTGCTAAGGCTTGAACTACTATGAACAATGGTGATGTCAAGCTTTTTGAAGAGAAGAAGATAAGGTTGGAAAATCCCTCTTAAACTCTAGGGAATCTATTGTAAAGTTATCTATGTGCATATCTCCTATTTCCCTTGCCTCTCCTTTTTGACTTGCCCGTGGGTTGCTAATACAAAGGTGAGGGTTCTTGGTACGGTCATACCCTCAAGCCGTTATAGGGGACAGTTGAGATAGAACTTGAGATCTCTATGAACAGTTTGAGATCATGGGGATCACTGTGCCCACCATTGCCTCTAATGAGTGCCTTAAGTTATTGAATTTCACAGAGCCTGATTTAGAAAGAAATGAAAAGGCTAAAGTGAGGTATTTGAAAGCATGATTTTGGTATGGGATGAACCGGATTAGCCGATTGGAACTTGTTTTGCCTAGTTTGGCTTAATTATGCCTATTTGTGTTGACTTAGGTCAGCTTGAGATAAATAATAGAGTAAAAAATGAAACATTAAACACAGAGTTGGAATGATATAGTCTTCCACTCCCAACCAACATTAAAACTTACCCGGCAGGAACCTAGACCGAATGTCCTACTTGATGACTTTTTAACTGCTTAATGACCGCCCTTTCACTGTATAATAAGAAATAAAGCTTTTTGCTTCAAACATGGAAGTCGAAGTCGACCTCATTTTGTTCTAGTGCACATTATCACAATTATGGTTACATAGTTCGTTTCTGCAAATTTATTTTTCTTTGCCATATCTCATTTTTGGAGCCCATCATCCTTTTTGGCTAGGGTATAAATTAACACTGGTGCCTGTGTTGACAAATCATTCACCATGCGTGTATCATCAGATGCAAATACATGATATGTTTGCACTTAAAGAATGGTGTTGTGTGAGTTTGTTTTTTCAACCTTATACTTCGTAGGTTCCTTTCCTGCCACCATATGTGTCAAGTGGTATGCTTGATTTCAGTTAGTTATTTCTTAAGTCCTCAGCTGGGAAATGTGGGTTAAAATCTTTCTGCACGTGTAACTGTCTGGTCTATTATAGTACTTCTAATCATTAAACTTTCTATTTTTTCAAGGCTGTTACAAGCTTATGCTGGCAAAGATCGAAGCCATTTATTGTAAATGAGAGCAATTGCACTGCTGAAATTGCTCTCCTTGGGGGTGCTAGTGAAGATTCTGTTCTGATGCCAGATCCCCGACCCTTTGTGTCTTCAAGTTTCTCCGCAGCAAATACGGTGTCTAGTTCCAGCTCTTCAGTAATAGCATCAACTAGTGGGTCAATGCCATCCACGTTAGTTTCTTCTGCAGAAGAAACTCCTCTTAGAAGCAGCTTATGGCGTGGTGGATCTTTGGCAAAGCTCCAGGCACCTCGTGGTAACTTTAATCTAAAGGATGATATGGATGTTTTCTCTCCTCTTGTAGATGTCCAGCCAATTACGCCATCCCTTGGCACTTTGTGGGATGATCATGATGAAGTAAGAAAGGATTCTGTGCTCCTTGATAAGAAATCTTTGGCATTTCCGAACACTTCAAGAAGATTTCCTTTCACAGATGGTGACTCTGATTCCCATAAAATATCAGATTGGAGGTCAAACACATCCTCAAAGCAGGTAAGTTACCATCTCTTGGCCAATGTTTATTTTACAAGAAAATGTTTATTTTACGAGAAAATATTTGATTACAAGAGTTGACGAATTTTTAGTCAACAGTTTCCTGTTATCAATATGGGGCTTGTGCTATTTCTTGCTTTCTGAGAACATATTGATAGGATATTTGGCACTAGCTCTTGTCTTTTTTATGATACATTTTTTTCCTTTGAAGTTATCTTAGTCTGGACGGACAAAAGTTCTCTTTACTGTAACCTTTTGGTGGCTCCTTGAATTCCTTTAAGCAATTATGGAGGAGACCTTAAATTCCTAAATGACAAATATCTTCCATCATCCATCACTTGACCTAGTGGAGTTAGTTTTGGGAGTCATCTGCTTCACTCACATTGAACATCTTTGATACAAACTTATTCTCTGTTTACCTGTGTATAAAATTGTGTGGAGCTTGTAAAGTGGCAGAGCTTTGTTAATGAAGTTTGTGAATGTGTATGTTGGTGCTTTAATCTTTGCATTTGATATGTTAGAATATCTACTGCTCCATTTGTGCTTCTGTAATTTCTGATATATGTTCACTCTTTGCATTTCAGGATGATGCTCTTGCTTCACCAATGACTGCCACACCCGCTGCTTCTTCTAGAAGTGAATCATGTTTCTCGCCAACTCCTCCAGAAGCTTGGGGAGGGAATGGATTGCCCGGCAAGTTTAATCAAAATCATCAGCCATCCTCCTCGTTGTTAGGACAATTGCCTTCCACTTCCTTGGCATCTGGTTCCACATTTCGAGCCCCGCAAGATTTATCTTCATTAACCAGCCAATTTTCCATGACTTCTTTGACAAATCCTACGTTAAGTTCTTTAAATCTGCAAAGCAAATCCATATTGAATAATGAGAAACCATCTACTTATTTCGAATCTTCATCTTCTTATGATTTAACATCTGCTTCTTCATCATTTGGTACGGGACCAGCGACATCTAACTTTGAACTGCCAGGATCAGTGCAATCTATTTTACCAAGAAGATATACCACATACGTTGATAGATTAAGTACTCTATCATCCTTTAGTGATGGAATTAATTCTGCGACTAGTTCACCAAAATCAAAGAAAACAGGTGCAGAAACTCGAGAAGAGCTATTAAACAACCTACTATCAAGGCAAGATCTATCAACTGCTATTGCGAATGGAAACCTTCCAACTATCAATGTAAGAACTTAATCTCCCATTCCATTTTGATTCTACCACAAGTGCATTCATATGTGCACCATTGGGAGCAATGTTGTAGTTTGGGGAAGGTAATGGGTTGGATAGAGCTGGGATCAACCTTCTTGTCCTCAAATCTCATACCCCACTCGTAAACTCAAGCTTGGATCCCCTTCCTGATAATAAGTCTGGTATTTTTTCGCATTTATCATTTGGGATCACCACTCTCATCTTTATTGATTCTATTCATCAATAACATGCCATGATGAAGTATATCATATGCTGGTAAGTACATCAAATTCCTTAAGGGGTTATTTGGTTGGATATTTTAAAATACATGTATCCTAAAACTATAGAGTAAATAGAACACATGTAATATACTGCAAAATTTTATTTTGTATTCATTTTACTTCAAACCAAATCATTCTTCCAACCAAGCAACCCCCAAGCATGTGCATGCCAAATTATAAACTATTATATATGTACATGAATGTGTGTATTCTTGTATCTCTCTTTTTATATGGCTTGACTTCAGATTAGGATATACCAAGCCACTCATCTTCCTAAAATTAATAGTTCATAGGGCACCAACTAGACTCATTTATCATTACACAAATCCTACTTAGAAATGTGTCATCCCTGAGCCCCATGGCAATGGGGAAAATTACCTTTAGATTAAATTATTATTTAAATAACCTTCATTGATTTTTAATTCCAAAACCGTTCAAAATTTACTGTAAGTCCTTTATACCATTTCGATCGAAATTTCATGTAGAATTTTACAAAAATAATTGTGTCGAATTCCGACTTTAAAAATTCGCCTAATTTTGTCGCGGCGCATCGAAATGTGTGCGACGCCTACGATCGATATTTTTCGAGTTTTACACAACTAGACTCGTTTATCATTACATAACCCTACTTAGAAATGTGTCAGCCCTGAGCCCCATGGCAATGGGGAAAATTACCTTCACCGGTAGTGTGGAAATTCAAATGTATACCTATTCATGTAACAGGGGGCATCAGCTCAGCATCCAAGGGCCGCTACTCAGACGGTGGATCAGCTGGGTAGTTCTTCTTTTTCACTTCAGCTTGTCCAGCGAACCCTCGAGGAAACTTTGGGATCCGTGCAGAAGTCTATCCATGATGATGTTAAGAACCTACACATCGATCTCCTCAGACAGTTCCACTTGCAGGAGGTGCGTGCTCTTGACCCAACTGCTGTCTTTTGCTTATTTATTTCACGTTCTGCTCTTTCTTTTCGTTGTTACCACTAGCTGATTTAATGCATTTGAACACAGTTGTTGATTTATGATGATGGAGATGCTCATTTGTTGATTTTTTATACCAGCGTAGTGTGCTCCTTATTTAGTAATTTCACATACACGAACCAAGTGGATTTTGGAATTTTAACTCAATTGGTGGTATCACAGCTGAAGCTAGCAGTGTTGTCAAAGTTGTTAGGTTTCATTTAAGGTTCATTTGGGACTGTTGCAATTGTTTATAAAATAATTATAGAATTATTGTGAATTTTTTTTTTTGAAGTTATTACAGTTATTATGAACTTTTTCTCTTTTCTGAAAGTTGGATACTAACCTTTATATAATTATCAAATTTTAGCGGACTGGATTGTAAAAATTTGCTTCTCATATATGAATTTATAAAAAATAATAAGAAAATTATAATTAAATAGAAGTGTGACAAATATCTGCAAACCAAATTTGTGCAAAAGCTAGCTAAAATGAACCCTTGGTGACACAAACTTTAAAGTTCGTAGAAACATGTTTTTGTGCCTTTGTTTGAGTAGACCCTCGCTATAACCGTCATGCATATTTTGCTCTAAAATCTAAGGTTGCATAATATTAAATTTGAAATCTAGTTTATGTTTTAAGGACGAATTATACATTTAAAGTAAAAAATTCTTTATGTAATTGCAATGAATGATTTTAAATTTCTGAAATGAACAAACTTAAAATGACTTTATGCATTATGCATGACAGTTTGTAAATGCCTAGAATTTTTTCCTATATAGTTTAAACTAGATGTATAACTAAGAGTTTCTTTGGGGCAGCTATTTTGTAATTTTGCTTTTAAGTGGTTGTATGATTGAATTACTTTATGGTGTAAAGTATTCCAAATGCAGGGGTATTACAAATTTGGGTGTTTGGTAGGAATACAAAATGATGCAAAGTAAATATAATGTAAAGTAAAGAAGTTCATTTTGAGTATAAATCATACTTCTCCGATTTTGAGTAGAAACCGTTTACACCAGAAGCTTGCTTGACAACCACCCGCCCCCAACTACTGCTGCCGGCCACCACTACTGCCGCCTGCATCACTGCAACCACCGACTGTCACATTTAGGACTTTACTCTATATTCATTACTTCTAATCAACAGGCTTATTCACCAAGTGTCAGATCTTATACGTTGAATTTGCTATTTCATGTAATATAATCCAGTTTCTTATTTTGTCATAGACAGCATTGTCTCTGTGCTTTCCATCACTGAGTTCCTTTCTCTTTTTTTTTTTATTCTTCTTCACAGATGGCAATGTCGAATTTGCTAAACTCAGTTCTAGAAAAGCAAGACGAACTGATCAAGGAAATGCAAACCCTCCGAAGAGAAAATCAACAGCTTCGTCAGTTGCTTTAAGCCTATTTTCTTCACAATTACGTTTTGATTTTTATTTTATCCAGCATTTGTTCTGCTCTAGTACTGCCATTTTTGGTTCTTGTTCGATCTGTATATATGCAAATTATGGGCTCTGATCCCTGGAATTAGTTCTTGGACGTTCATTTTTTTGGGGGGTTAATTTTCAATGGAATCAGTACTTGGAATTTAATCAAATGTAGCCAATGTAAGATGATTTTGATTTCTGCAATAGTTTGTTCAGATATGTTATTGTTAAAATAGTTTAAAACAAATTGTTCAATCATGATATAAAAATCTTAGTAAAAAAGTTGTCCAAAATGAATTCAAAATCTCAAAATTTTGTTAACTTTGAAAACTTTAATTAATTAAACTAGCGCATTGGTGTCCTGGAATTAAAAATTTGCTTTAATAAATAATAAGAAAGCCGTCTCAAGCTAAGCTTAATTAATGTTTTTGCATTTAATAAGTTAAAATGTTTTATCATATGGCAAAGTTGTAATTAAAATTTGGAACGTTTGATTCCATTATTTCATTAAGATTGTGACTGTGAATTTGAATTAGGTGACTTGAGCTTTATTTGAGACCGTTTTTTTATTGCTTCTTAAAATAATTTTTTAGTTTAAAAATTAAAATTTTTATACTAGAATGTTGCTTTAAGAAGCAGTAAGAAAGTCATCTCAAACCCTTTGTGATGATTTTTTTTGCTATTTTTTAGAGCAGTTTTCAGTATAAAAATTAAAATTTTTTTAGAAAATTATTTTAAGAAACAATAAGAAAATCGTTTCAAATGAAGCCTAGTTTAAGAGAACATCAACCAGTATTTTTAAGTATCTTTAATGTTTAAATAATGCTTATGATTAAAATAATCATTTGATGATTGTATGGGTTTTACTGATTATGAGAACGACAATATCAATGTAAATTGATGTTATTTTGATGGAAGTTGTTTGAATGTTGAAGAACTAGATAAATTTGAGAATGGTTCAAATGAAATTTTAATCTTATTCAAATCAAGTTCAAATAACTTTCGAAATAGATTTGAACCTAATTTAAATGACGTTTGAACCTAGGGGTGCAAGTGAATCAAGTTATTCGTGAGTTGGCTCAGGCTTGACTAGATAAATGACTCGTGAATTGAGTTCGATGAGCTAATGAGCAAAATTTGAGCCGGCCCTGACTTGATTAATTAGCTCGCGAGCAAGCTCATATATATATATATATATATATATATATAGGCAGAACCAAGAGATGATAAATTTGTGCTCTTTCAAAAATTATAAATAGTTAAACATGTGCGGTATTAAAATTTTAATTTGCATGAATGTAAGTAGATTTACATTTTTTTTTTTTGGATTTTACAGATTTATTTTGAGCTAAAAAATAGTTTTTAAAAATATATATCTTACTTCAATATTATTCAGCTATTATACTATAAGTTTATTCTCATAGCCATTTGGAATATAAACATATGTTAACAAAATTTATATTTTATGCAAAAAGAAAAAAAAATGCAAAGAGTTATATATTAAATAAATTAAAACTTTACATTGTAAAGAAAAACATGAACTAAAACTTAATTAGGATGTACAATATTAAAAAAAAAATGAAATGTTATAAATACTTAATATAAATTTATAACTTTAGGCTTTAATATTATAAATAATTTGAACTATATAGTGTGCAAATTATATATGATTTCATATTTACTAAGAGAGGAAAAAAATTAATGTGACTAAAATTAAAACTAATTTTTTAGTTAGAAAATAAATATTATTTAAATGATATTTAGATCATATAATTATTAACCAAAATTATTAAATTTTTTGATGGAAATGTTTTTGAACATTTATAGAAATTTTACAATATCTTCTAAATTATAAAATAAAAAAAATGATTATATTTATGATACATACTATTATATTTGGATCTTATTCAAATAATATTAAAAAAAGGTTCAAACACAGAACCTTATTAGATTCGAGTTTGAACTTCACATGGAACCTCATTTAGGTTCACAAACTCATCAAACTCGCTTGAAGTTTATTTTGGAGCCCAAGTCACAAATTTTTTTAATATCCTGACTGAACATATCTTTTGAGCATGCCCCTTTTTATAATAACCCGAGAATATTGACATTATTAGAACTAACCCAACATATTTGGGTCAATCTGAACCCGACCTATTTTTGCAAATGGGTCGATTTATATCTTTTGAGAATGCCCCTTTTTATAATAATCTGAGTACTATTGACATTATTAGACTGGATGGAGAATGCAATCAAATGAGGGGGGTCAATTTTGGGTCACGATTCATGTTGGGGTCGAATCTGGAACTGATCAGATATATTTGGGTCAATCCGAACCCGACCTATTTTTGCAAACGGGTCAATTTTTTGGACCCGAACCTAACCCGCTTTAGATTCGGGTCAACTTGACACGACATGGATTTTCGCTCACAATAGAGGAGATCGGCGGTAGGGAGTCCATTTGGAACTTGGAAGGGTTCGTGCGACTTGCAGAAGGGCATTCGACGGTGCTTGGGAATGGGACGGCGAGGATGGCGGACGTGAGACGCCAAGACTGATGCGGATAGCGGATGCGAGTATGCGACCGGGCGGGACTGACGACCCTATGAGAAGGAAACGGATGCGAAACTGTTGGCAAAAGCGGCGATTGAAGAAACGACACTTGACGCGAATAGCTGGCGGACGCGATCGTTGACGCAGCACCTCTTCAGATGTGATTGACAAGACAGGACGAACAAAGAGTAGGAAGCAGTCGGTCCGGGTCAAATCGGGTTGATATCGGATTTCCAAGTCAACTTGAACGAGCAAACCCGACCTGTTTTTGCAAACAGGTCGAAATCTCTGACCCGGTTAGGGTTCGGGTTGACCAGAACCCAAAATTTTTGTGTCAAATTTTCGGGTCGTGTTCGATATTGACACCCCTTCAAATCTAAATAAATACAAAGATTTAAACATACCTTTCCTGTATTCCATAAAAGAGGATGCCTTAAGAGAACTTGCTCAAAGCTTCAAATCATTAAGTGATAAGACAAGAAAATGGCAGTCAGTTCTGAAATTAGCGAGGAAACTGCTAGGAAGAGAGAAGTTTGATCTATATTCTTATTCGAACATTTGCATGTATACATGATGATCATCCTGCATGTTTTCATATAAGATTATTTTTATATGAATTGGGCTTTAGGATATATTTTCTCAAATAAAAATATGAGTGATATATTCATTCACATATGAGCATTGCGAGGAGTTTGTAGACAAATTCTTAGAAAGGACAAATTCTTAGAAATAATTCCTTTATTGGTGAAAAAGAGCGTTTATCCAAAAGATTTTCAATGTTTCTAAAAACTGTCTTTTTTATATAAAGATGATTATTTGTATAATCGATATAGCCGTTAGGTTCTGAGTCATTCAAAATTCTTCACTAGTTTCACATACCCGCCAAACATGCTTGCCAAAAGGACCCCACTTAATCCTCCACACTCGAAACTCTCCTCTCTCTCTTCTTATACCTTCCTCTCTCAATCATCAACCCAAATAAATCTCCCGCCAGATGCGCACCTTAAATTTCTCTGTCTCAACGGTCGACTAAAGGAAGCCCTTATTGAAATGTCCATTCTTGGAACAGACGTGAGGTTTCGAGGCTATGATGCTCTTATCACAGAGTGTGTTAACCGAAAAGCTTTAAGAGAAGGACAACTAGTCCATTCTCACATGATCAAGACTCATTACCGAGCACCAGTTTACCTGGATACAAGGCTGCTGATTATGTATGATAAGTGTGGGAAGTTGGATGATGCACGGGAGGTGTTCGATGGAATGCCTCAAAGGAATATTGTTTCATGGACGGCAATGATCTCAGCTTATTCTCAGAGGGGGTTCCAGTCTCTGGCTTTTGGTCTCTTTCGATGGATTCTGAGAACAGGTATGGAGTTATGTACTTTGGTGTTATGAATAAATGGATTGATTCGTGTGGATATAAATGGATTTTCTTGGGCCACAATTTCACCAATTGGTCTTTGAGGCGCTCTTCCATGAGCTCAACTATATCCACATTCTCCTCTTCATGAGTCAGTCTCAACTCGTCCACTAATTCTCCCTAAGGACCTTAACTCAATCCAACCCATAGTAAGCCAAGTTGAAGCCATTGATGATAATTAGATTTATGATCCCACAATGCATAGATTACTGCACCATCGAAAAGTTGAAGCCAAGAGAACGTACCATTGTTATTGGAGAAGTGAATATTTAGTTCATATTTATAGCCTAATAAGCCCTCTCATCATTGGCTATCAATGGACACGGAACTATGAGTTTATGGAACTATATGATCTATTTAAATTAAAAAGTTATCCTGATTTCTCATAATCTTTAGATATTTTTGGGATGTCTCGTGTATCTAATTTCTCTATTCGAGCTTCCTAAAAATTTAATTGCTTTCCACAAATGTACCAAGTAGTTGATATTTGTTTGTTTACGGTTTTTTTTGGCATATGTTACTGAATATGATCCTCAAATGATTACGCACGGTGATGCTCTTAAACTATTGGAATTTTATTTCAATCGTTTCTATCATTTAAATTGGGATATCTTCACGTCTGTTAATGGGAAAAGTGGTGTTTCAAATTGTTTATTTATTCTCTATCGATCCCTTTACGTAGCTTTTAAAGTTTGATGGAACTCATTTTAAATTGCTTGTTAACTCCTGGTCCATTTTTGTCTTAATCAATAGATAAAATTATTTTTTAATGGCATTATGAAGTTTTAAGATAAGCTAAACTTCCTTTCACTTTACAGGTTTGTTTCCAAATGAGTTTACTTTGGCTACTGTGCTGGCTTCCTGCATTGGCCATCTTGGACTTGAGCATGGAAGGCAAGTGCACTCTCTTGCTATCAAAAACAATTATAATTCACACGTATATGTTGGAAGCTCCCTTCTAAATATGTATGCAAAGGCTAGTGAAATCCATGATGCTAGAATGGTCTTCGAGTTCCTCCCTGTAAGAGATGTAGTTTCTTGCACTTCTATTATTTCTGGTTATGCCCAATTAAACCTTGATAATGAAGCCTTGGAAATGTTTCGAAAGCTTTACAATCAGGGAATGGAATGCAACTATGTCACATTTGCCAGTCTTCTCACTTCCTTGGCCGGGCTTTCGGCTTTGGAGTATGGTAAGCAAGTTCATGGTCTTGTTATTAGACTCCAGCTTCCATTTTATATTGTTTTGCAGAATTCTATGATTTACATGTATGCAAAATGTGGCAGTCTCTTGTATGCTAGGAGAGTTTTTGACTACATGCCTGAGAGAACTGTAATTAGTTGGAATGCAATGCTGCTGGGATATGGCGACCATGGTTTAGGGAGAGAGGTGCTCTGTTTATTTAAGTCCATGAGGGATGTGAAATCAGACGCTGTTACTTATACGGCTGTTCTATCAGGATGCAGCCATGGAGGATTGACTGAGGAAGGTCTTGGAGTTTTTTATAGCATGGTTGGAGACAAGGAAATGGAACCTGAAATCGGGCACTATGCATGCGTCGTAGACCTGCTTGGGCGCGCGGGGAGAATAGAAAAGGCTCTTGAGTTCATCAGGAATATGCCATTTGAACCGAGCATCGCCATGTGGGGTTCATTGCTAGGTGCTTGTAGAGTCCATGGAAATGTCTCAGCTGGAGAATATGTTGCTCAAAGACTTCTTTCTATGGAGCCAAAAAATGCTGGAAACTATGTAATTCTTTCCAATATTTATGCTGATGCTGGAAGATGGGAGGATGTGGTGAAGGTGAGAGAAATGATGAAAGAGAATACAGTAATTAAGGAACCTGGGAAAAGTTCGATCAATCTAAATAAGACTGTTCATACTTTCCGCTCGGGCGATCGCTCCCATCCTCAGAAGGATAAAGTAAATGCGAAGGTTAGGGAGTTGTACGAGAAGATTAGAGAGGTTGGCTATACTCCAGACTTGAGTTGTGTATTGCATGATGTGGATGATGAACAGAAGGAGAGAATATTGCTTGGCCATAGTGAAAAACTTGCAATAGCATTTGGGCTGATGTTTAGTTCACAAGGTGGGATTCTCAGAGTAACAAAGAACCTTAGAATTTGTGTTGATTGCCACAATTTCGCGAAGCTTGTGTCAAAGGTTACTAAAAGAGAATTATCAGTGAGGGATAGTAAACGTTTTCACCTTATGGCCAATGGAACATGCTCTTGTGGAGATTTCTGGTGATTGAGCTTTTGATTGTTTATGCTAATAAAGCCTTGGTTTGTACCATTGAATTGGATCTTACCAGAAAAAAGAAGCAACAAGGTAAAATCTTCATTGCCATATTGTGAATAATTAGCTACCTGAATTCTAATTGGCTCTTTGTTTAAGGAATTTGAGATTGCAATTATGGTGTTTTCTAGGAAAAGTTTTGCTTAGCTCTATCCCTCTGGCAAAGTAGTGATGACTTCAAACTGGATATCTAAGAGACTTTGGCTTCTTTTGGGACAGCTTTTTTCTGTTTCTTAAAACAATTTTCTAGTCTAAAAATTTGAATTTTTTAACTAAAAAGCTGCCTTAAAAGCAGTAAAAAAGTGGTCTCAAACAAAGCTTTTGTTCGACGCACAACCATATTTTTCTGTGTTGATTATATCATCAACTTTCCAGAGTTGAAAAGAGAAGATAGAGATAAATATAAATAAGCATGCCAACTAGACTTGTGACAGACAAGGATACATTTATGAAGTGGCATTTAATTTGAGGCCAGTATATTCATGGATTAGGCTATGGCAGGCCCAACGAAGACTACCATGGACCTAGGGGAAGCCATTGACGGGCACAAGCGGCGGCGGAGGCGATCCCAACAATGTGTTGCCTGGGATCTAGTGAGTATCCAATGAGATCCGCTAATTCATTATTAATATTTTAAGTTCTATGCATAAAAATCTCTCTTTACTAGATTTAAATGAGAATATAACTCTTAATAGAACACAATGGAGAAAAAGGATTCACGTAGCTGACCCTACATAGTGAGATAAAGACTTGATATTGTTGTTGTTATTGTTGCATAAAAATCTCTCTTGTTAATATGCTAAAACAAATTATTGGTCCAACACACATAGACTCCACATAAATATATTGTGGAGTTTAAATTAGTTAGGTGTGAGTTTGTCCACCATATCCTTACAATCTTGTTGCCAACTTGCTTAGCAATCCCTTCTTTTGCTTCTATTATTATAGTTCCATTCTTTCACATCATCATTATTTGTCTTTGGTGACCAACTAATATTTTATTTTTCTTGTGTTACACAATTGGATTACTTTTCTTCTAGCTATTTGATTGGGTGGATGGGATTGTTCTAATTAAATTTTGATTAAATTAATTTTAATTTTTTGATTATATTTTAAAATACATAAAATTTATATTAATCAAAATTTGATGTAACATCTTACTCATATGAGACAATATAGGCCACATCTTCTCAGGGCAAACTTGGAAGGTGACATTTTATCTATGAAGCTCAATTATTAAGGCTGTAGCAACTCATATATTTTGATAAATGGAATATATGATTATGGTTTCGTTTGGGACAGTTTTACTATTGCTTTCTAAAATAGTTTTTTAGTACAAAAAATATATAGTTCAAAAAAATTTGTACTAAAAAATTACTTTAAAAAAATAATAAGAAAGTTGTCTCAAATGAAACCTATATCACATAAAATTGACTTTAAGCTTATCCTAATATGCTAATGGCCTATCTCGACCTAGCTCAATCTATATTGAGGCCAAGGAAATTAAAGGTGACCTCGTCGAAGGCCAAGTGCACACTACCAAAAAATAGGGTTATCGCAGCACAATTTTTGACTTATTATGACGGTTATAACTGCCACAACTTTCTTTGCAGCGGTCTTAAAACCGTTGTATTCCCGCTGTACTTGCAATGCGCTGCAACAACATTCCGTATCAATTTAAGGACAGACGGGGTAGATTTGAGGAAGTACTGGATTTAGTAGCGGTTTTAAAATTGCTACTACTGAATGTTGCGAAAACATTCATGTTTTAGTAATGTCGCACTCGCTGTGGATCAAGGATCTCTCATCAAAGACTACTCATCACTTACCGCTCGTGACTTATCACTTTGCAAACTCGCTCAACCAGCAACTTTCCATATGTCAAATGTTCATGTATATTTTTATATTTTCTTGGCTATATAGTTTTCGGGCTACATGTTGAATGTAGATGAATATGTTTATATATTAATAATTTACATGATATAACATTTTAGAAACATTTAAAAATTAGGTATAATAAAAATAAGAATTGCTTGTATTAATTAGAGCGACATAGGACTTATAACCAAATTTGTCCTTGATAAGGTCCCACAGTTTATTCTTCAATGAATCTCTTGTCTGATTTGTTTGGGGAGAATAAGACGGCTTATGTACTCAATAAATTTTAGGCCAATTATTTTAGCTTATGTTAGGAGGGCAATTAAATAGACCACCCATAATTTTTAAAGGATAGTTTTTTTTTTTAAGTACTAAAGCATTTTTTTATTGCAAATACTTTTTGAATTAAAATTTTTTTTACTAAAAATTTGTTTTAAGAAGTAATAAAATAAATAAATTTTAGAGTTTTATCTGCACAATGTCCTTATTTTTCTCTTTTATTCGGAGAACAATCAAATTGATTGCTAATATTGCTTGACTCAAGACATTTCTCTTCGACCTTTATCATATGCGTGCGAATGACTAATGACTAGCTTTCACCATTCAATCTTAGGTTTTGTTTGAGACAGCTTTCGTACTGCTTTTTAAAAAGACTTTCTAGTACAAAAATATTTAAGAAATTTTTGTACTAGAAAGCCGTATTAGCGAGAAGAAAGCCGTCCCAAACGAAGCCTTAGGTTTCGTTTGTGACAGCTTTTGTACTGCTTTTTAAATAGCTTTCTAGTACAAAAATTTCAAATTTAAGAAATTTGTGTACTAAACAACCGTTTTAGAAAGCGAGAAGAAAACCGTCCGAAAAGAAACCTTAGATACCCAGCATATAATTTGCCCAATTTTAAGAGAGCGGCGAACTTGATCATTGTTTGTCTCTATAATTTTAAAGTCCTCTATTTATTGTCGCTAGACTCGAGCCAATAGCCGAAGTTCGCCGGCGACTAACATTTGATAATTGTCTTCTTTATCGCTTAAGATCCCATCTTATCAATAGAAATACCAAATCAATGTCCTACTATCGCATGACTTGTAAAGTTCTATGTTAATCGAACACTCGATGCCAATCAATGATTGATGCCTCAAACAACAAATGCATAAGGCTTGTTGCTCGATCTCCACTCTCATTAGAAGAACAATAAGTGACTGACTTCTTATAATCTCTATTAACTATCGTTTGATACTCTTCACCTAATGATAAATTTACCATTTCAAAGCTTCTCCCACTACAACCATATGAGATGCCTTATATAATTTAACCTTACCATATTGTTTTAACACCTTCAATTATGAGAAAGGGTGCCATTTTATAATACTTATGTTGCAGGCTGAAATATTTGCGGCGGTAGAGTGAAGAAACTTTGTCTTAGTGATATACGAAATCTAAGAAAGAAAAGTCCAAGATTTTTGTAATAACTCGAATATGTGAAATTTAGGAAGAAAAGAGAGGAGTGAGAGGTCTTTGGATGATATTTGTTAGTCATTTCTGTCACGGATTTTGTTTTATTCGTTATAAGTGACTAATCTCTTACTTCTGTTTTCAATGATTTTAATTTCTACAAATTTTATCTCTCCCAAATTTGTCAAAAATATATTATCTACTGATTTTATAAGCTTGCACCATACAAGTTTGTATATGTTATAAATGTGATCATTATGAATAATTTGATATGATTTTATTGCATTTTAAATGAAGTATTGAAGGATATAGGATACATGATATGATAATTCCACATGATACCCTAATGATCTACGTGGTTCACTGATTGAGAGACATATGAAACTAGAGATTGATTGAGAATTATAAGGATTCGGGGCAATTCATTCTCATGATTCAAGGGGAGTTATAAGGAAAATATTGATTGGGAGTTATAAGATGTGACTAATTGAAAGTCAAAAGTGTATGAGCAATATACTCTTTAGATACACTCCTTAAACATTTAAATACTGATACCGACACTATTACGAACACTGTACTGATATTTTGAATGCCACTAATATTGTTTACTGTCATTAACGTATACTATTTAACATTATTGATCATAATACTAATATTGTTATTGGCATAATGCTGTTGATTGTTACTGATACTGTGACTAATTATATAATGGATTGTCATATGATAAATTATTAAAGGATAAATTGATACAAATAATTAGTATAGATATTGATGAATATATTTCTTTATAAGATTTATAGCATATCATTCTCTTTTATCTTGCATTGATTTTAGTTATAGGATTTTAGTTACTTGTTGGGCTATATGTTAATTACATCATTTTACATATTTTCAGGAAATGGTAAGGATCCTAACTCTAGATAAGATAAAAATACAGTCATGTTTCTTTCTGCTATTCATTGATAAGCTCTAGTTAAATGATTAAAATGAAAGACAGATGTAATTCTTTCAATATAAATCCTAGAGTGTAACAAAATAGTGTTAGAGCAATGGTTATTGGAAGAATTAAAATATAGAACTTATTAGTGTAATAGAAATGCGATTCCTGATTTATAATTAGTTGATTTGAGTTTTAAATTTTATTTTGAGCATGCTTTATATCTCTCTCTCGGACTGATATAGAAATATCGATACAACAACAACAACATCAAGCCTTTATCCCACTACGTGGGGTCGGCTACATGAATCCTTTTTCTCCATTGTGTCATATTAAAAGTCAAATTCTTGTTTAAATCTAATAAAGAAAGGTCATTCCTAATATTTTCTAACCATGTCTTTTTAGGTCTACCCCTACCTTTCTTAACATAAGTCAAATCTAATACCTCTACTCTCCTAACCGGGTCATCGGAAGGCCGCCGTTTTATGTGACCAAACCATCTAAGGCGACTCTCTCTAATCTTATCTTCTACTGGAGCTACTCCAACCTTTCCACATATATGCTCATTCGTATCCTATCTCTAAGGGTAAAGCCACTCATCCACCTGAGCATCCTCATCTCTGCCATACTTAACTTAGTATTATGCTTCTCTTTTAATGGCCAACATTCGGCACCATAAAGCATTGCAGGCCTCACTACCATCTTATAGAATTTTCCATTAAGTTTGAGGGGTACATTTCTATCACATAACAAGCCCGATGCATTCCGCCACTTCAACCATCCAACTTGAATTCTGCTGATAATATCCCATCAATTTCACCATCACTCTGAACAATAAATCCAAGATATCTAAAACATGTACTCTTATTAATGACTTGATCGCCCAAAGTCACAATCCCCTCACTAGGTCCATTACTACTAAAATTACACACTCCATATATTCTTTCTAGATCTACTCAAGCAAATACCTTAGACTCTAAAGGGTTACCCCTCCATAACTCAGGTTTACCTTCAACTCCTCTCTATTCTTATCAAACAAGAAGAATAATCATCAGCAAAATAGCATAAGCACCAAGCGTAATCCTCTTTGGCCAAATGAACTATGAATTGAAATAACGTCAATATGGTGAAATATTTTTTTTTGAAACTAGTTTTTTTAATAGAGCTCTTTGGAACTTATTTAGTGAGCTGCGACCCAGGACATGAACATTATATACTCTATATCCTGCCTCACCTTTGCATCACCCTACCGACTCAACTCACTTTTTGTTGCTTGGTCATGAAGAATTGAAAGTAGAGGAGAAGAGAGAGGAG